CTAGCTCCTTTAATTTCTTACGGAGATCGTAGGATCCCACAAGGCAAGTCATGTACTCAGGGTGGCGAGACAAAGCATCCGCAACGTGATTGTAACAACCTTTCTTGTGTTTAAGCTCAAAATCATACACATCAATCTCATACAGCCAATGGGTCAATGTAGTTGATGGATTGATTTGTGTCTGGATCCATTTCAAAGTCTCGTGGTCTGAGAACACTTTGAAATGGCGACCCAAGAGGTAGTGTTTCCAATTGTCTAGTGCCTCTCTCAAGGCATAGAGTTCTCGCATGTAGGTGGAGTAAGCTACCGTGTGATTGGGGATGCGTTTGCTGTAGTATTCAAGCAGATGTAAGGCGTCACCGTCATCTTGCTGCAGCACTGCCGATCCCGTACAAGCTTGCATTCGTAGTTACTACGAATGTAAGTTTGGGATCTGCAATGCGGATCACCGGATGATTCACCAAGGCCTCCTTCAATGCTTGGAAGGTGGTTGTGCATTCCCCATCCCACGTGTAAGACACGTTCTTGCTTGTCAATTTGGACAGCGGACAGGGCGATGATAAAAAAATTGAGCACAAACTTACCATAGTATGACACGGGACAAAAAAAAAAAACGCAACTCTTGGACATTTGCCGATTGAGGCCATTTGCGGATGACCTCAACTTTGGTTGCCTCAGGCTCTAGGTCTGTAGCGGACAACTGATGTCCAAGGTAGATGACGTTGTCCCTCCCAAACTCATATTTCTCTAAGTTGAGATGGAGACGCGCATCCTTGAGGATCTGCAACACCTCCTCAAGGTGTCTTATGTGCTTCTCCATCGACTTGCTGAAGATCAGTATGTCATCCAGATAAACAACAACAAATCGATTTATCTGACTGCGGAACACCTTGTTCATGAGACTTTGGAAGATGGCTGGTGCATTCGTGAGACCGAAGGGCATGACGGTAAACTCGTACAGCCCATCGTGAGTTTTGAATGCAGTTTTGTGCTGGTCAACGAGGTAGACTTTAATCTGGTGGTAACCAGACTTGAGATCGATCTTGCTGAAGACCTTGCATCCACCTGCGGCATCGAGCAGATCATCAATGTGTAGCAAAGGGTATGCGAATTTTCTTGTTATTCTATTCAGTCCGCGATAATCGAAACACATTCGTAACTTGCCTTCTTTCTTAGGGACAAACAAAGCTGGTGCACCGAATTCAGATTCGCTTGGCTTGACTCAACCTTTTCCAAGCATGTCATCGATCTGCCTTCACAACTCCAATTCACCTGAGCCCATTCGAGAGACACAACCTTTTGGAGGAGTGTTGCCTTTTATCAACTCGATCTTGTGTTGGACCGGACGCACAGGAATTACACGTGGTTCAACGAAAACTTTAGGGAATCGGTTGAGAAAAGTGCGGATCTGTGATGGGATCTTCGGATGTGGATCATCAGAATCTGAGTGCAAGCATACCGGATTGCATAGGTGTAGCCAAAACGACAGGATCTGAAGCAGAATTGTTTGGACTAGAAGTAGATTCAGTAGAGGTAGAAGTAGAATTAGAAACGACATGCGAAGTAGAATCATTATGTACAACAAAAATAGAAGGCAGCAGGCCTAACAAAGGCTATATACATTTGCTCATCAACTTTGCGCCTGCGCCACTTTTTGCAGAATTTCATTGCATTGAGAAAAGTTACTTGGGACTCGTGTGGCTCGTCCAAAAGGACTGGTCCGATTGGACGCTCGATCCCCATGGCATCTTTGACCATGAATTGTGAGTCCTTCGACATGGTTCTTTCACATTGGGCCTGGAACCAGCCCAAGCCAATAACCGCGTCGAAGGGGCACTTAGCAAGGACATAGAAGTTCAATTCATGCGTGACAACGTAGTGCGCACACCTTTGACTGCATGCATAGATGTGACAACCTCTTGGTTGCCCGCTTGGGTCTGATAAGGATTCTGCAAAGTCACTTGCTTCATTCCCAAGCATGCCTTACGAATGTCGTGCGGTGAGAAGTAGTTGGCGGTTGCGCCACAATCAACCAGCGCACGGATGTATCGGCCATTAATGCGGAGTTTGAAGAAGATCAACTTCGTTTTCCCTTGCGCGCGTTCTTGCTTCATGTGAGCCCAGTTCAACAAGAGGGCATGAAAGTCGAATCTCTTCCAACTCCACCCAAGGCTCCTTGTAGAGCATGTGAAATTTCTCAGCCTTAGAATCAACATCAGATAGGGTCTCAAGAGAGGTTTGTTGAGTAGGATCAGAATCTGGTGAAGCACCTGCACTTACATGTTCAGCCTCTCCGTTTGAAGAGTGTGTTGATGATGTCTCTACCCCCTTTGCTGGTTTCTCTGCTGCAATCTGAAGCAATGTTGGACCGAGTGTCCCGGTTTGGTGCAATGCAGGCAAACCCCTTTCTTCATCCTGTGTTACCACTCACTTTCACTAATCCGGAGATGTACCCATGGTTTTGTGTCAGGATCTTCTGGTTTGGGTGGAATCTTTGCTCCCTTGGGGAGGTGAATGGTGTTAGTGTTGTTCTTCACTGCGTTCTTCGGCCCCTTACTTTTGAAGGGAGTCTTCTTAAAGGCATTCATTGATTCATCATCACCCAGATAGTCGGACTTGTGGGCTGACCAAGAGCAAGATACCTCGCAGTCTTGCTCTTGATCGTCACCAAGTGAAGGGTCCTCTGCAAAGGCCTCCTCGACAATCTCAAGTTGATTGTGCACTGCAAAACGGTTGCTGCCCGGAAACCATTTGCGGCTGGTGGTCTTTTTGCCACCCGATCCACCCGGGAGGTCTTGTGCCTCTAGCTTGACTAAATCCCGCATGAGGGAAAGCCAATCTGTATATGTTGCGAGTCCGAGCCCCAGGCGATGTGTTACAGTAGAGGGAACTGTACCTTTAATCACATCCAAGCAAGACTGTGCAGTCATCTCCAGATCAGTAGCAAAGAGTTTACTAACGTACTGTTGCAGACTATGCATGGTGCTTGTCCACTTGATGTGCTTGAGCTTGGCAAGCTTAAGTCTCTAGCTTCAGCTGCAGCTTGCGGATCAGCATATTGCTTGATGAGGTGATCCTCAAGCGTGGCTATTGGCGTAGCCTTCAGCCATTTGATCAGGTCTATTCTTTTATAGCCTGACTGTACACCTTGGACTTCTAAGAAGCCTCTTACGGCGGGTTCCACATTGGTCCCTAGGACCGACGACTGAGTAACCACACTCAAAGAAGAAGAAGAAGAAGAAGAAGAAGAAGAAGACACAGTTAGAGGGGCAAGAACGGACTGGCATACAGCATTAGAAGCAGGGTAAGCGGACGGAAGGATGATCTGGGCCGGCTGCAAGTTAGCTACCTGTTGCAGCTGGTCAGGGTGCTGCTACGGCATCAGGGCCATATCCTCGCGCAACTTCTCGAGTTCATCACTTGCGTGAGTTGGCCGGTATGGTCCTCAACAGCCCGCACATCTACTAAAGCCCCTGAGAAGTGGGACAGTTTTCTCTTCCACCTCAGCATCAGTTAAGGCGGGCACAGTACTGAAGACGGCTTCATGAGCCTTTACTTTGTCTCCCTTCTCTCTCTCCTTCTCTTCGTCTTTCCTCTTCAACGCTTTTTCATAAAAGAACAGGTACTGCACTTTTTCTGCCTCGGGGGCAGCGTCCATTTGCAGTTTCCATTCCACTGCAGACGTCATGATGGAGGACAAGAGTGTCAATAAGTCTCTCAAGAGAGGTTCATACTTCCTCACGGTTCTGGGACGAACACTCCTCTTCCTTTTTGGAGGGAAACATTATTGCAGACTCTGATATTACCCATACAGGCCCTAGGCAGACTGGATGGACTGGTACGCGCCTGGACCTAGCCTACCGCTCCTGGCCCTCTAAGAGTTGTGTGTTCGAGTCCTGTATTCGACAGGTACCAGCCTACTTCTGCTCGGCCTCGAGTTCCCGGCAAATCTACTTCTACTGGGCGCAGTACCGGGCTACTTGAGTATTTTCCCTGCTGAAACCCTCAATGTCACGGCCACAGGTAAATACCGGCCCTACGGGCCTCCCAAACAAGCAAGTACCCTTGCACGTCACACACGCACTCATGCCGACAAGCACTCAGACAGTCACGCAGGAATGCAGGAATCTCAGTAAGGCATCCATTCCGTCGGCAGAACTCAGAAATCAGAAGTGTTGTCAGTCTGTGTTATGGCGGGTCATTACAATACCCGCTTCTCCCAAATCAAACACACGGTCATCATAATGGACGTATTTGGGACAAGTTTCAGTCTAGATACAGCGATAATCACCATGTGTTCCATTCCATTCGGCCGAAAGATGGTAGGCTCTCAAGAAAAGAGGCAACTGTCCCATAGTTCCAACAACCGTTTAACAAACTGCAGTTTGTCTTAGTGTCTACAACTCTCTGATATTAAGTCTGGTGCTTTCCTTGGGGTACTGTTTGATATTAAGTTTGTGTCAATGTTTAACATTCTGGTCTTTTTTTTTTTTTTTTTTGCCAATATTAGTTCTGCGCAGAATAACCTAATTTTAGTTTTGCACAGAATAACCTAATTCTGAATTACCTGGTGCTGGTCAGCTTCAATGATGATATTTCACGGTCGTCGCCCCTTCCCAAAAAAAGGAAAAAAAGAAAAGAAAAAAAGTGTTAAAATGATTCAAATCCTCTTTTCCGATTTTTCTTTTTTTTCTTTTTTTTCCTTCTTTTTTTTTTTTTCCTCCAAATCAACGATGGCGCAGACCAGGTGTTTGGCGGGTTGTGTTTAAAAAAATAAAATAAATAAAAAATGGCGAGAGAGCAGGGTGGATGTCAACATCGTTAACCTTAACCCTAGACTCCGTGCGCAGAATTGCGCACACATGAACAACAATCTTTTTTTTTTTGACTGCTGATTTGAAGGTCAAGGGTTCAAGCTTCTTGTTTTCCAATATCCTATTTCAGTCTTTTCAGACTTTTTTTTTTCCTTTTGTTCCTTCTTGACATCCTGTGGGGTGCAGGTATGAGCCAGACATGCTGGCATTCACAATGTGCGACTACGGCGGGACTGCAGAAGAGAAAAGATCTTTGTTAGATCTACGGAAGCGTTGGCCAAATCTGCATAAATATACCCCTGAACGGCAAAGGCGAAAAGGTGTCTGCGTATTGACACCGGCGGAGGTAAAATTACATGTGACACATTACCCAACATTCTTTCTCGAGTGCGGACCGATTTATTTATTTGTTAATTTTTTATTTTATTTTTTTAATAGTTTGACCAAGTTGAAGATCAAGTGGAGGAGGTCCGTTCTGATTTGTTTAATATCTTATTATCTGTGGTCCCCAAAGATTAATAATATTATATAATAATAATAATAAATTATATTAACTACTTACTAGGTAATAGACTGTGTGAAAGCAATGTGTATCAGTGCATACTCACCGCTTGCACTTTCGTACATGTATCTGACTGCAATTACGGCCAATCGCGTATGAATCTGACTGCAATCAGGTCCAGAGCTTGGTAGAAAAAGGCTTCGTGCGAGTATTATGCCGTCCGCTTGTCCATGTTGTGGTGGATATATAATGTTCACTAGATTCACAGGCCATCCATACGTAAATGATTTAAAAAAAAAAGGAAAAAGGAATTAGCAGGCCTGTGCAGGGGTATGGTGGGGAGTCTGCGGAAGCACTGTTGTACAAATGTATGTGGCTGTTTTTCAGACCGAAGACTGGATGGCAGAGTTCTTCAGGCATCCTTGTAGTTGGCGCGGTTTGCAGTGAAGATATGGTCTGACTCTTAATTGTGGTGGGGGAAAATCCATGGTACTTTCCGTTTGACTCTGCGCTCGCTTTTTTTCTGTCAGACCTTCAGCTGATCACTAAAGAATAGAAGAAACACCTGAAGCATTTACACTTCAAATCTCAATCGGTGCTTTTCGTTCCTCGGGTCGTTCTGCAAATGGACCACGAAGGTCGATGTGACATTCCCTCGAGACCCTTGCTGAGTGTCTCTCTCTCTCTCTCTGTCTCTCTCTCTCTCTCTCTCTCTCTCTCTCTCTCTCTCTCTCTCTCTCTCTCTCCCTCTCTCTCTCTCTGTCTCTCTCTCTCTCTCTCCCTCTCTCTCTCTCTCTTTTCACACCCTCTCTCTCT